AGGGTCCCATGTTCAAGGCCCCTCTGGGCAACTTAGTGAGACAGAGTCTCACTAAAAAAATCAAAAGGGCTGGGGATGTAGCTCAGTGGTAGAGCACCCCAGGGTTCCATTCCCAGTACCTTAAAAAACAAAACAAACTAGTCTTTCATGGATATGTACTGTACATACTCAGGTTCGAGCTCATTCAACTATGTACATCAAATGTGTGCAGATTTTATGTTGATCAGATCTCAATAGTGTGATTTATTTTTTTTTTAGTTGTAGATGGACACAATACCTTTATTTTGTTTGTTTATTTTTATGTGGTGCTAAGGATGGAACCCAGTGCCTCACATGTGCTAGGTAAGTGCTCTACCACTGAGCCACACCCCAGCCCCTCACTAATGCCATTTTACATAGGAACACTGTTCTTATATTTCACCAAATGTCAAAAGGTCCGAGGCATTAAAACAGTTCAGAAGCCCCACCCTCTTGTTCCAGGAAGCCATATTGGTTGGGTTTTCTACTATTTGCTGACCAAAGCATCCCAACTCTGAGAGGGTTTGGCGGAACAGTTTGAGATGCTCTGTTTGGTGCACACAGTGTAACTGTATGTTCAAATGCGGCTCTTCCTGCTGGTGGGTTGAGAAAAAAACAGCCCAGGGTCACCAAGGATACCCACAGCCCTGTGAAAAGGGCTAGACTGGCTTGGTGGACACACAGACTGATGGACAGGCTGGTCCCTGACCACCGAGCACCACAGAAAGGTGGGAGCAGTGGGAGTGGGCCATGTGGTCTGCGCCCTGCCACCTCCCACACCCCACAGGCCAAAGCTGCAGGGAGAGCAGAGTGCTCAGGTGGGAAAAAGGATGTTCATGCATGTGCTTTTTACACTAGACTGGACATTTTTTCCCCCTTTGCTCTGAATCAAACCTGGGGCCTTGCAGGTGCTCAGCAAGAGGTGGCCACTGAGCCACACCCTAACCCCTAAGCTGGACTTTAATGGTCAGATCTGTTTATTCTTATTCTCTCCAAGATTGACAGCAAAGCTGGGAGATGGTTTGGGCTCCAGCCCCATAGGAAGAGGGTCCCTGAACAGCGGCAATGGGGGACAATGCTGTCTCTGCCTTTCTGATCCAATCTGCCCTCTCCCTGGCTGTTCTGCCACCCCTCCCTGCAGAGGAAAATGAAGGGTCACAGGCTCCAGGGAAACTTCAGGGAAGACTTGGAAGGACAGGGCTGCCAGAGACTGGCCTGGCCACAGCAACCCCCTGAGAACTTCTGCCTGTGAGTGGACAAGGACCAACTAGGTCACAACAACAGGCCTTATGGGAAGAGCAGAGGGAACCAGGGGACGTCTGTTTCCCAAATTTAAAGTAGTGTTCTACCTTTTAACATTCCCTTCTCCCCAGTAGTATCCAAATAATAAGATCCAGAACTAACACTCCAGGCCTCTGGTTCTCAGAGTGCCGCTGGAGCAGAAGAGCCCTCAGACCTGGTGTGACCTTTCATCTTACGCATCAGCCAGGTGAGTCTCTGCTGCCTAGTTGTTTGGTCAAACACTAGTCTAGGTGTTGCTCTGAAGATTTTTTTTTTTTTTGCAGATGTGAGTAACATCTGTAATTAGTAACTTTAAGTAGAGGTAGTGCCCTCCATGTGGGCCGGGCTCAACCAGCCCTTGAAGGCTTATTAAGAGCAAAAACCGAGGCTCCTTGGAGAAGAAGAGATTCTGCCTAAGACTGTAACAAAGAAATCCTGCCTGAGCTGCCAGTCTGCTGGCCTGGACTGTACATGTTGGACTAGTGGCCCTCACAGTATTGCAGAAGTCAGTTCCTTAAGCGCCGGCACACACCCTGCGGGCTTCGGTTTCTGCAGACTGCACAGGCTGATGGGGTCCGGGGGTACTTGACAGGCAGCACATATTTGCTCACAGGTTTGCCCAGGCCTCCGGGGTCAGCCACTCAGGTGGACGCGATGTACGGCCTCTGCCAGAGTCTGTCGTGCCCCAGTTTGGGAACGGCTTCTTTCCAACCTCACCAAAGTATCACCTGGGGACCAGGGACCAGCAGTGATGGCATCCCCTGGACACAGCTTCTCAGGCCCCACCTAGATCTGCTGAGTTGGGCTCTGCATGTTAGCTAGATCCCTAGGGGGTGCGGGGACACAGAAAGTTTGAGAAACACTGCCCTAGTGCTTCCCAGCGGCAAGAAGAAGAGGGGTGTTTCCTGGACTCTTGGAAAGAACAAGAAAAGTGAGCCAATTATTGGGCACCTAACGCCAAGCCCTTGATAGAATTTGGGCGATGTATGGGTATAACATGCACAGCTTCTTTGAATTCTCCACTACCCCGTCGGGCACGTCCGCTCAGTCCCGGTTTACAGACAAGGAAGTGGACTGGCTGGGGCTGAAACCTGCTGGGGTCACGCAGGGGGAAGGGGTGGATCAGAATTTGGCCCCCGGCCACGCCCACTAGCCCTGCTACTCTCCCCGGCCACGCCCACCAGCGTGCACCCTCCAGCCGCCCAGTCGCTACTCCCCGCCAGCCACATCCCACCGCTCTTCCCCCACAGACAGTGCAGTGCGCCTCTTCTCTTCAGGGCGGAAGACGCACAACCAAGATGCCACCCCTTAATTACAGCTGTCTTGTGTCTGCCGCTAACAAAGGCCGTGGGCCGGGAAAGGAATCAACCTAATATGCAATTGCTCATTCCCAATTAGCACAAATTATCATTTGTCTGAGAGGATAATGCTGGGAGCCCGACTCTGTCCCTGGTGGGTGTCACTGTTCATCTGCCTAATCCCTACTCCTCCAGCCCCAGCCGCCTCACCGTGCCTCCCAGGACGCAGAGGTGGTGAGAGGGTCTGGGTACATCAGGCATCCCTTGTGCCCTGCACTGGGTCCCCCTCCAGGCACCCATGCCAGCTGACTCCGTCCACGCCAGCCAACACTGAGCCACGCTCTTCTGCTCCACGGGAAGGCTGCTCACTCCTCCTCACACCCAGCTCCTTTCCCGAAGCCTGGCCTTCTCAAGGGGCTTTGATGATGCCCTTTGAGGCTTTGGTGGTGTCATGGTTTGGATCTGGAATGTCCCCCAAAAATCTCTGCAGCAATGTCCAGAGGTGGGGCTTTGGGAAACCATTGGATCATGAGGGATCTGGTCTCATCAGTGGATTAATCCATTTGATGGATTAGTATTTTGAATGGACTACGGAGAGGTGGTAGTAACTACAGGCATATTGAAGGAAGTAGGTCACTGGTGCAGGCCCTTGGGGATGATACCTTGTCCCTTGCCTCCTCTCCTCTCTCTCCTTTCTCCTTCCTGACTGCCATGAGCTAGGCAGCTTTCCTCTGACACAGCCTTCATTCACACACACACACACACACACACACACACACACACACACACACACACATTTTTAATGCAAGTGCAGTAGAACTATACCACCAAGCCACATCCTTATACCTTTTTATTTTTATTTTTTATTTTATTTATTTATTTATTTATTTTGAGAAAGGGTCTTGCTCAGTTGTTGAGGCTGGCCTTAAACTTGGGAACCTCCTGCCTCAGCCTCCAGTGCTGCTGGAATTACAGGTGTGAGCCACTGCATCTGACCAGTGTGATAGTCTGATTCTGCCTCACCTCAGGCTCAGAGCGATAGGGCTGCTGACCACAGACTGAAATCTCTGAAACCATGAGCCATAATAAACCTTTCTTCCTCCAAGTCACATCAGGTAATCTGGTCACAACAATGAAAAAGCGGACTAACAGGTGGCATGTGGCCGAGAGGGTAGCCCGGGCACAAGGAAGGGCTGAGCGCCATCTTGCCCTGTTTCTTGACCCTGGAAGGGTTGTCCAGAGCAAGGCTTCACACATGCAGTCCCCTCTGCTGGAATGTTCTTCCCTACCTCCGCCTTTCTCCAGGCTGACTCCCAGGCATCCTTCAGCTCAGAGATCAGGACTAATTCTTATAGTCTCAATAATGACTATCATTTATAGAGCAGGTACTATATGCATTAACTTGTCTACTGCACAATACTATGCAATAGGTACCACAGTTCTTCTCACTCTGCAGACGAGGAACTGGGGCGCAGCAAAGTTGAGTAATCTGCCTGAGGCCACACAGTAAGTGGGATGGTTAGTGTTTGAACCAAATTTGACCTCAGATCTCAGTCTCTCACTTCTGAGTAGCTGCCTGGCTGGGGAGGTCCCTCCCCCACTTGTTCCCTCTCCTGACACCATTCTCCTTTTTTTTTTTTTTTTTTTTTGGTACTGGGGTTTGAACTCAGGGGCACTTGGCCACTGAGCCACATCCCCAGCCTTATTTTGTATTTTATTTAGAGACAGGGTCTCACTGAGTTGCTTAGCACCTCACCGTTGCTGAGGCTGGCTTTGAACTCACGATCCTCCTGCCTCAGCCTCCCAAGCCACTGGGATTACAGACGTGTGCGCCACCGCACCCAGCACCATTCTCCTTAAGGACACTCAGCACACCGTAACCATGCAACACATGTATCCTCTGCTGGCTTATTGTCCATCCTCAAAGACAGCAGAGACCACGTCTGACTTGCTGAGAGCTGAATTCCCTGGGCCTAGGTCTGTGCCTGGCACATGGCAAAGGCCCAGTGAGCATTTGTGGGATGCTTGAATAAATAGGCCCCAGGCCTCTCCATCCTTAAAATGGGGCTGGTGAGGCCCACCCCAAGGCTGATGGGCAGTAAAGCACTTGGCTGGTTCACCCACTGTTTTCTTCCACGTTAGGAAGAAGGGCTCTGGACCCCTGCCTTGTCCTGATGACCACTTGTGCATTCAATAAACGCTTATTGAGCACCTACTACGTGCCAGCAGTCACAGCCACTGGCTCTACACACTGCCAAGAAAAGGAACTCAAGTGGCCCTTTAGGGACGGCAGTCAGTGCTTCTAGCAGATCACCCAGGCAGAGCCAGTCCCTGTTCGGGTGCCTAGGGCTTCCCAGGATCCCCACTGACTCCCTCCCCCAGGCCCCTGCACCAGGCACTCACAGGCTTCATGATCCAGGTGATCCCCGGGTTTTTGCGAAACTCCTCCACAAACAGGTGGTACTCGCAGGGCATCTCAAAGGTCTTCGGGAAGAAGTCGCACTTGGCCGCCTCCAGCTTCCCTCCGTCGCGCTCCAGCTGCTTCCGGAAGCGCTTCAGGTTCTTCACCATGTAGTTCTTGCGGGTCAGCTGGCAGCGGTGGGCAGGCTGGGTGAGCCTTCAGCTCCTGCCCGGCCCCAGCTCCTGACCCCAGCCCTGCCACCCAGCACACCCCCAGCCTCCTCTCTCTGGCCACAAAATAGCAGGAACAGTCAGAGCAACCCAGACCGAGAGCCTCTAGTCTATGATTGTCCCACGTCCCAGGCCGGGACACGGAGGCAGGGCAGAATGCAGCCGGTTGCCCAGAGCGCCAACGAACAAGTGGCACATCCAGAGTTTGATCCGGCCTTTTCTGACTTGGAAGTTTATATTTATTAACCATTAAGCCACACTAACATTTTATTTTTTATTTATTTTTGGTACTAGGGATTAAATCCAGGGGCGCCCAACCACTGAGACCTATCCCCAGCCCTTTTTATTTTTTATTTTGAGACAGGGTCATGCTAAGCTGCTTTGGGCCTAAATTGCTGAGGCTGGCCTTGAACTTGCGATCTTCCTGCCTCAGCCTCCCAAGTCTCTGGGATTACAGGTGCGCGCCAGCTACGCTAACATTTTAAATCCCTCACCACTGGTCCTCCAGGTCTCTTTGAGGTCAGGTTCCCTCCAGATCTCCAATCTATCTCCAGACCCAAACTTCTCAGCTTGCCTGCACCCTGAAGTCCCTCAAGACTCATGCTCCTTGCACCCCCAAACCAGCCTGCCCCCCATAGCCTGTGTCCTTAATTCTGCATCCTCAAACAGGCTGCTCCTCAGGCTTTAGATCCGCACAACCTCTAACCATTGAGCTTGCCAGATACCTAGGCCACATGTCCCCCACCTGGCATATACCCCATCATCCCCTTATATTTTTCTCTTCTGGTCCTTGTCCCTCCCAAACAAGCTCCTACTCGTCACCACACCCAGTAACTTGAGTTGCGGGCTGGGTCCCCTCTGACCGGCCCGGCTCACCTCATAGTGGTTCCGAAAGTGACAGATCCGCACATGCTCGTCCATGTAGGTGTGGTCAAAGTTCTCCCGGAGCCAGCTGACGTCACACCAGTAGAAGTCCCACTCCCCTTCACTGGGGTGAAGAGGCAAAGGTCATGACCTGAGGGCCTCAGCACTGCTGGGGTCTGGGGCCCCGGGACATGCAGCTGAGGGGCCCAGGGAAGGGCGCGTGGCAGTGCGTCCACCAGGAGTCCCTTAGAGGCCATGGGCACCACCGTCGGCAGATTGTGCCTTCCCTGAGCCCTTAGCACATGTGGGCACACTGAGCTCAGGTACCAAGTGGCCGCAGCTTTAGGCAGGGCCTGCCTGTCCAGTCACAATCCACACCAGGCCCTGCAACACGGGGCATAGCTGTCCACACCACCTGCCTTCCTCCTCCACAGCCCACGGTATGAAGTGATGGAACGGCTCACGCCTGAAAGGTCTTCCCAGTTCACAAAGACCCCTCTTGCTAAGCCTCAGAGTGGCCCTAAGAGGTGACAACGATCATTCCCTCAATTCCAGGACAGGACAGCCTTGTTCACCAAAGACACGGCACCCCCAGAACTCCACCGGGCTCCACCAGGTGCCACGTTCTGACCCTGTTCTTCACCACCATGCCAGAGAGGGGGACAGGAAATCAAGTGATGGACTAAATCCAGGGACTGGAGCCAGGTGCTGGGAGCTGGGGTGCTCAAAAGAGGCATCAGGAAATAAAATAGTGCTGCCATGATTATGCCACTTTTTTTTTAAGTACGTATAACTGAAGGTCCCTGTATATCCCTGCATCTATCTCCTCTTTCTGCCCCAGAGGAAAACCAGCCTGGGTTTGGTGGCTTGTCATCTCTTCACAGTGTCTGGATGGCTTTCCTCTGTCTGGACATGGCCTGTGACATTGTCTGGCGTGTTTTTTCCCAACTTCCTTCTTGCTAATCCTTATGGCTCACCACCCTCCCGGCGCTGTTCTAAGTACTGTGCAAATATGAACTCATTGATCCCCACAGCAACTCCAAGTTCTGTCGTTATGCCCATTTTACAGATGAGGGAACTGAGGCCCACCCAGAGAGGTTAAGGAGCTCACTGAACAGAGGCCACTGGGCTCTGGCCAGAACCACTGCAATCTGCTTCCTTATTTGACACATGGGGTCTAATTCAGTCATCTTAACCACCACGTTCCACTTCCTTGAGTGAACACACTACAGTGTATCCATTTTCAAACTAAGAGGTGTTTGAATTGCTCCCTGCTTTTTTTTTTCCCCTACTATGGATAAATGGACTGAGTTTTGAAAAAAAAAAATCTTGGGGAACTTTGAGGCAGAAACTGAACAAGAAGTGGGCAGCTACAAGAAGGGTGACCCATGACCTTGGCCTGAACATGACCAACTGTGGGAGAATTCTGTGGTGGACTGCAATTCTAAGAGATGCCAACATGAGCCAGGAGTGGTGGCACATGCCTGTCATCCCATTGGCTTGGGAGGCTGAGGCAGGAGGATCATGAGTTCAAAGCCAACCTCAGCAACTTAGCAAGGCCCTAAGCAACTAAGCAACACCCTGTCTCTAAATAAAATATGTGTGTGTGTGTGTGTGTGTGTGTATATATATATATATATATATATATATATATATATATATGAATGAATGTTGCTCAGTGGTTAAGCACCCCTGGGTTCAATCCGTAGTACTGGGGTCAGGAGGAGTTTAAGAGCCATGTCCCTGCTTTAATGTCAAATGGGGGGAAAATAAATCAATAGCAAGACAAATGCATAATTCCACAGATGCTTTCATAGCGATATAAAAGTTCCTTTACTTAAGTAAAAGGAGTGAGTCAGCTTGAGGACAATCCTAAGCAAACACCACATGCCTGCACAGGTGGTGACACAGGTGGTGGCAGCAATGGAGCGACATGAGTCAGGAATCACCCTTTTCCAATTCCATCCTGAGTTATGAATGAAAACCTGGGCCTGGGCCTCCTCCAAAGCTTCTCTCAGGCTGTTGCTGCACACACAGCAGTCGTGAGCAATGGCTTCCGTAGCGGATGGAAACCCCCTGGGGACATGGCCATCTGCCCTCCAAACCCTTGGTCACCAGACAGCCCCATTCCAGGCTGGCCGCCCGGGCCTCATCCAGCTCCCTGTCCCTCTCTACTCTGATGCTTGCACTGGGCCACATCATGCAGGAGAGAGAGCCCCTATTCTGGTTCTGCCACAGGCAATGACTCTTACGTGACCTTGCCCTCTTCTCTGGGCCTCAGTTTCCCTACTAGAGAATCAAGGAGTGGATATTTCTGCTCAAGATGATGGATATCAATGAGCCAGACCAATACTAAATAAGTAAGAAGCAGGAGAGAAAAACTATTTCCTTACAGAAGAACCCTACCCAGCCGGGTGCGGTAGCACATGCCTGTAATCCCAGCGGATGAGGAGGCTGAGGCAGGAGGATCGTGAGTTCAAAGTTCATAGCCTCAGCAATGTCCAGGTGCTAAATTATTTAGAGACCCTCTCTCTAAATAAAATACAAAATAGGGCTGGGGGTGTGGCTCAGTGGTTGAGTGCCTCTGAGTTCAATCCCCAGTACCCCCCCCATAAAAGCTGATCTTCACTGGAGAAACACCACCTCAACTTAGCGACCCAGGTAACACCAGTGTAAGACCGGCTGGGCCCATGAGCCCCCTGATGCAGTTCATTGGGGAGGACACCGCATCACTTTGTGGTGTTCAGCCCTGTCAGACAAATCCCAACCCAGGGACATTCTGTAAAATAAAGAGTCCTCTTTGAATGTATCAAGGGCACATTTGTGGATATAAAGATCAATTAAATGCAATGTGGACCTGGAATGGATTATGAGGCAGAAAGAGAATATTAGTAAAAAATACTGGTGGAATTCCAACGATGCCCGCTGCTTGCTTCATAGTGTCTGTTCACTTCCAGGCGTGGACAGACGTACTGGTCACATCAGCAGCTAGAGGAGGAAACTGGGTGAAGCTGCTAAAAGAAGGAGCTGTGTCCTGAAACCAATCCCCCTCGTCACCAAGGGACAACTGTATTTTGAAGCTTTCAGTTTAAAATGATTTCAAATAAAAAGTTTAAAAATTACATTGAAAAAGTTAAAGTTGGATTCCTAACTCACACCATATTCAAAATCAAATCAAAGACCTACACGTAAGAGTTAAAAATATAAAAAAAAATCTTAGAAGAAAACATAAGAGGGCTGGGGTTGTGGCTCAGTGGCAGAGCGCTTGCTTGGCATGTGTGAGGCCCTGGGTTCAATTCTCGGCACCACATATATAAAGGTATTGTGTCTATCTACAACTGAAAAGGTTTTTTTAAAAAAGAAAGAAAATATAAGAGTAAAATTTTGTGATCTTGGATCAGGCAATGCTTTCTTAAATATGATACCCAGAGTACAAGCAACCAAGAAAAAAATAGATAAATTAGACTTTGTCAAAAATTAATTTTGTGCCTCCAAAGTCACAATGAAGAAAGTCCACAACATGAGGGGAAATGTTTGCAAATCATGTGTCTGATAAGGGTATAAAGAATACTTACAACTCGACAATAAATCGACAAAGAACTGGGTTTTTCAATGTGCGATAGGTTGTAATAGTCACTTCTCCAAAGATTTACAAATGGCCAACAAGCAAATGAAAATATGTCAAGCATCATTGGCCACAAGGGAAAAGCAAATCAGAATGAGATGCCACTTCACACCGACTTGGGATGGCTAAAATTTTAAAAATATCAATGAGTACTGGTGAGAATGCCTAAAAACTGACATTTTATACAGTCCTGTTGGAAATGGAAAATAGAGTCCAGCGGTTCATCAAAAAGTTAAATATAGAGTTACCATATGACCTAGCAATTCTACTTCTAGATGGAGTTTCTCCCAAGAGAAAAGAAAACACGTTCCACTCAGAGTTCATACATGCATTTTCATAGCAGCATTGTTAGCCCCAAAGTGGAAGCAATCCAAGTGCCCCTTCACTAATGAATAGATAAAGCATGGTATGTCCATACAGTGGAATAGTATACAGCAAATGAAGGGAGTTGGGGGTCTAGCTCAGTAGTAAGGGTGTGTGTTTAGCATGTGGGAGGCCCTGGGTTAAGAACCAAAGGAAAAAAAAAGAAAAAGGAAATTCAAAGAGGGCAAATCCGTGGTAGCTGCCATCATCAGCGTCATTATCCTTGCTGTAACAGTCCCCAAAGTCCCAAGGAGAGTGCTCTGTATTCACTACCTGTACCACAGCTTGCCACCGACAGCTGACTCCTAATTTCTTGTGGGTTATTTTAAGTCAGTCTCGCTGCTGACTGCAGCATCAGGATCCGGAATATTCACTCATCTTTCCTTCCCTCTCTGAGAGCCTACTGAGGGGGGCGGGGACAAGCCTGTGACTCTGCAGACGTGCACACCAGCTGCAAATCCTAGCCTTACAAGCGAGGGACCTCTGAAACATGGCATTTTCGTTACTCTGTGCCCAGGTTTCTTATTGGTAAAGTGGGATTGACAGTAGCACCTACCCAGATTTTGGGGGGATGGCTAAAAGAGATCATGGATACCAAGGACTACAGTGTCTAGCAGGGCTTTTTTTTTTTTTTGGTACCAGGGATTAAATCCAGGGGCGCTTAACCACTGAGCCACATCCAGGGGGGAGGAGCATGCCTTTTTTTGGAGGGGAGTATTGAGAATTGAGCCCAGGGCGCTTTACCCCTGAGCTACTTCTCCAGCCCTTTTTATCTTTCATTTTGTGACAGGGCCTCGTTAAATTGCTGAGGGTCTTATTAAGTTGCCGAGGCTGACCTCAAACTTGCGATCCTCCTGCCTCAACCTCCCGAGTTGCTGGGGTTACAGGCGAGTGCCTCTGTGCCTGTCTGGCATGGCTTCCCTGCCTCCTTCCGGCCTCCTGCTGTGTGGAACGTGAAGGTGGGCTGGAGCTCCACTTGGCACTGAGGACGAGGGACTTGCTCAAGGCAAAGCAAAACAAAGAGCCGGAACTAGCCAGGCCCCTCATTTCTCTCAGCCTCCTGGCCATCCTGGAATTTCCTATTTACGAACCTCAGTGGAGGGGCGGGGGCCAGATAGACGGGCTTCTAGCCCATCAGAGCCTCTTTGCTTCAGGTCCCTGGCACATGCATGCCAACCTCACCCCTCCCTCACGCAGCCGGGGTCGTATATTTATTTTCCTCCCTCGGCAGCCCCAGGGCCCAGCACCAAGGCAGAAACGTAGGCCTACAGGTCAAGTCACTTGTTCTAGGCCACAGAACTAGTAAGTGACCAGCTAGGTTAGTCCTTGACCTGGGCCCATCCCGGGAGGACTCAAGCCAGCAGGTCTGTGCTGCCAGCATCCCTCTGTTTCTCCAGAGAGCCACAGGACACCCCCGGCATCAGTCAAATAGACTGGGCACCTACGTGCTGTGTGACCTTAAGCAGTTGGCTTAACACCCCTGAACACTGTCATACCTGATTGGATGGTTGTAAGGCTTAAATTAGAGACAGAGACGGTGTGAGTGATTTGGCCACCACAGTGTGGGTGCTAAATAAATGTCAGCGCTACTTTAGGGCAAGTCCTAGTGGCTACTGGGCTGGGGGGCTGGGAGAAAAACCAAGGCAGGCAGGAGGGGGTGAGGAGAGGGAGGGGGTGAGGAGGGGGAGGGGGTGAGGAGGGGGAGGGGGTGAGGAGGGGGAGGGGGCGAGGAGGGGGAGGGGGCGAGGAGGGGGAGGGGGCGAGGAGGGGGAGGGGGCGAGGAGGGGGAGGGGGCGAGGAGGGGGAGGGGGGCGAGGAGAGGGAGGGGGGCGAGGAGAGGGAGGGGGTGAGGAGAGGGAGGGGGTCTTACTCTTTCACTTCTACCCATCCCGGCCTGTGGCGCAGGACATCCATCAGAGTGTTCATAAGGGTAGTCTTGAACCGGATCAATGCTCTCTGTTCTCTGCAAGACAAGGCAACAAAACACTTGCTGGAATCCAACTTTCCTAGCACGCTCCAGGGATAGGATAAAGGGGGAGGAAGAAAGATCAAAGCCACAGCTAGAAATGCCGAAAACAGAATCCCCGAATTTCAGAGTTTAGCATCAGAGCGTGACAATCCCTGAAATAATCAAATTGAGCATTACAGAAACTTTGAATCATCAAAAAACAGCAAGCGTTTTGTCCAGAGCCTACTATGTGCTGGGCACGACCGGGCTGCTCCACGTGCACCATGACTAGCTCTCACACTCCATGCAACACTCCCCTTCCTGACATCCATCTGGGAAGATGGAGCAGATGTCATTTCCCCTATTCCTCCTACGAGGGCACTGAAACCCACTGTATAAAACAAACATATGGTGGGGAATTCCCTGGGTTTTCTTTGGGCTTCCATATCCCAGGTGTGGAGATTAAAAAGCCAGCCAAGGGCTGGGGCTGGGGCTGAGCGGTGGAGCGCTTGCCTGGCATGGGTGAGGCCCTGGGTTCCATCCTCAGCAGCACATAAGGATAAATACACAAAATAAAGGTATTGTGTCCACCTGTAACTAAGAAAAAAAAAGCCAGCCAATGGCCACCCAGACATGCCAATGGGCACAGTCTTAAATAAAGCCCCAGCAGAAGCCTGCTCTCTTTAGCCACAAGAGCAGAGCCCCCCAGCAGGACGCAGGGCAGAGAACAACTGCTCCATCAGCCAAAGCCCGCAGAAAACATCTGCGTCCCCCACTTGTGCCAGCAAAGGCCAGGGAGTCTAGAAGCGATGCCTCTGCCCCTGTGGTGTCAGAGAAGGCCCGGGACAAGGCTGGGGCTTCCTCCCCACCCGGGAGACCCCGTGGAGAGCCTGGACCTCCTCTCCCACCCCCTCAGTGACCAGCTGCCCTCTCGCTCTGGGGTGATGTCATAGGAGGCCTGGTGGAGAGGAAGAGATCAATACAATTGAAAACAGGAAAAAAAATCAATAAAATAAAAGGCTAATTCTTGGGGAAGATCAAATCAACAAAACCATTTGTCAGCAAGATGACGAGAGAGAGAGAGAGAGAGAGAGAGAGAGAGAGAGAGAGAGAAGATACAATTACCTAGGAAGGAGTGACACAGGCCCTGCTGATGGGAAAAGTACAGTTAGGAGCAGGCCAAGGCCCCCGCACACCTGCATGTGACGACCCACACAGGGTGAGCCCCGAAAAGCACTCGGCACCATACACACCTAATGTGAGACAGGTCATTTAAATAGCTCTGTGACTATCGAGGAAATAGAATACATAATTTTAAAACTCCCAAAAAAGACATCTTCAGGACCAGATGGTTTCACTGGAGAATTCCCCCAAACATATAAAGAAACATTAACCCCAGTTCCACACAATCTCTTCCAGAAAAGGGAAAAGGAGGGAGAGCTTCCAAATTTACTTTGTGAATTTAGTGTTCACCTGCTATTAAAGTCTGGTGAAGAAGCTGGGTGTGGTATCACATGCCTGTAATCCCAGCGGCTCAGGAGGCTGAGACAGGAGGATCACAAGTTCAAAGCCAGCCTCAGGAATTTAGTGAGGCTGTAAGCAACCTAGTGAGACCCTGTCTCTAAATAAAACACAAAAAAGGGCTGGGAATGTGGCTCAGTGGTTAAGCACCTGATACCCACTCCCAGAATAAAAAACATACCAAAGTAAAGCACAGTCAGGTTGCTGGAGGCCAGGAAGAGTTACTGCCAGGGGTGGAGTGGGGAGACAGAGACTGACTTCTGACTTCTAAGAAATAATGTCAGTCTGAAGACAAGGGAATGTCATCTTTCAAGTATGTAAAGAAAAAAGTCAACCTAGAATTCTATTCCCAGTGATATGGAAGGGAAGAGGAGAGGGAAGGGAAGGGAAGGGAGGAAGGAGGAAGGGAAGGAAATTCGTTCCAATAATTGGACGGAGAGGAACCACTCACCGCTCTTTTCCTTTTGAAAATCCATGGCCCTTGTAATTTTGATTCTGTAAGGAGAAAAGGAAAATGATGTCACTGGTTTTGTACATCCACCTGCCTTCCCAGCCCACACTCAACCATGCCTCCGTCCTGAGACAGGAAGGTGCAACCTGGTCAGGTTCTCATCCACCATCAGGTGCCCAGAAAATCAGTGCAGAACTTACCTGGTACCCTTAGGGTGAATTCCCAAGCAGCCCACTGCACTGGAGGCTTGTTCCATGAGCAACACCCGCAGAGTGAATGCCTGTTTTATTGGCGCTCCAAAATTCGACCCTGAACCCCAGTTTTGAGAGCTCAGTTTATCAGGCTCTGAGTCTATCCTAATTTGGGGGGTGTGTCTCAGCGGTAGAGTGCCTGCTAAGCACATGTGGAGCACTGAGTTTGATACCCAGCTCTAAAAAAAAAAAAAAAAAAAATTAACTTTGCATGTTTGATTGGACCTAGAATCCAGGAAAGGGCTGTATCAGACTCAGCAACATGAATTCCTTTCACCCAAAACAGACCTTTCAAATCCTCAATGTGTGTGTGGCTGGTGGAGAGGGGTGTATTTCAGCTCCAACCATATCCAAAACAGCTTGTCCCCTCAGTCCTGGTAAGACTGATCCCTAAGGCATGTATGAAAGAGAAACTGATATTGGCCCCGTGCAGCCAACCTTTACAGTTGGGACAGAGCTGTGATCCGCATTCATTTTCCGCGACTGTGTAATAAATTGCTATAAATTGAGTGGTTTAAAATAATGCACATTCACTATCTCATCGTTTCTGTGGGTTTGGAATATGTGCACAGCTTAGCCAGAATGTCTGCCCTGGTCTCCTAAGGCTACGTTCAAGGTGATGGCTGGAGTTATGGTTCTCATCGGGGCTCATCTTCAAGCTCATTCACATGTTGGCAGAATTTGGTTGCTTGGGGTTGTAGGACTGCTGCCCACTGGGTCTGCTCCCAGTGTCTAGGGGCTGCTTGCTATTCCTTGCAAAGTAGCTCCGTAGGCAGTTCACCACACGGATGTTCTTCCTGTATGCCACCCTTAGCATGTCCCTTGGACTTCCAACCCACTGCCTCCAAGTCAGCTATGATGGTTTCATATAACATAATGTCATCATGGCAACAGCGATGCCATCAAATTCACCCACACTCAAGGGGAGGGAATTATTATTATTTTTTAAATAATTTTTATTTATTTTTATTGTTTAATTTTCGGCCGACACAACCTCTTTGTGTGTATGTGGTGCTGAGGATCGAACCCGGGCCGCACGCATACCAGGCGAGCGCGCTACCGCTTGAGCCACATCCCCAGCCCCAAGGGGAGGGAATTATGCATGGCATGTACACCAGGCATGGGGACCTTGGGGGCCATCTCAGAATTCTGCTTACCACATTATCATACCCCTCAAAGAGCCTGTGGAAGGGACCGTGAGATAGCGCTTTCCAAAACAAGTGGTTAATTCCCCCGCAAAAGAAAATGAAATTGTGTCCTTCCTCCACCCAAGCCCTGCCTACTCGCCCAGCACTAGTCAGCTCACCCTATATATCTTTTTGAAAATCAGATCTTTAATCCTCTCTCTTTTCAATTCCACTTTTCATGGGTTTATCCAGTTGCTCCAGAGTCCTTGGTTGCAAATCGTTTCCTTTCCTTACCAAATTGCACCGGCATGTTTGTCAAAATTCAGTCGACCATGACCACGTGGGTCTGCCTCTGGACCATATTGGGCTCTATTTACTTGTCTATTCCTATGCCACCATCACATGTTCTTAGGTACTGTAGTTTTCTAGTAAATCGTGAAATCAGGCAGTGTAAGTCCTCTGGCTTTGATTTTTAACATTGTCTTTGCAATGAGGTGCCATTTGCACTTGGATATAAGTTCTTCTATCTATCTATCTATTTATTTGTTTGTTTGTTTATTTATTTATTATTTATTTATTTTTGGTGCTGGGAATAGAAGCCAGATAAGCATGGCTAAGTGTGCTGTACCACTGAGTTATACTCAACCCAACAATACAAATTTTAGAATCAACTTGCTGATTTCTACTAAAAGACATGCTGGGATTTTGAGAGGAGCACATTGACTCTAAGATCATTTGGGGAAGAAATGGCATCATAAAGCATTGACTCTTCTAATCCATAAAATGTGCTTGTTTCTCTCTCTCTCTCTCTCTCTCTCTCTCTCTCTCTCTCTCTCCCCATTAATTTAAGTCCTCTTTATTTTTTTCTCAATGGTTCTGGTTTTTAGTAGAGAAGTCTTGCACATTTTTGTGAGGGTACACACAATTTATTCTGTCCTTCTCTCTTAAGAAGTTCATATACCCAATTTCTTGGGTCATTTAAAAGAAAGCATAGTCCTACACCAGGTCTCTTGCCTAAATCTAGAAAGTTAAAGGCAGAAGCCTTAACTTAAATCCAGGCAAGAGGCCCTGGATTTGATCCAAACACCAAAAATAGGGGGGACCTTCTTGGATGTGGGAGGTGAATGGGGAGGAGTCAAGACAGAGCCCCGGGGTTTGTCCTGAGCAGCTACCGGAGTCCTCCACCAGTAGCCATTCAACAGTGATCAGCGTATGTCTGCTCCCTGCAGGAGCCGGCGTTAAGGCAGGGAAGATGGACCTCGAATAACCATCAACGGGAATTATGACTCCTGACAAAAAAAGCGAAGTTCATGACACTCTGAAAGCAGATAAAGTTGTTTTTTGTTGTGAAAGGGAATTTTAAAAAATGGAGATGCCCTTCTTGAGAGGTTGGAACCTGAGATAAGAAGCAGGTTGGGGCAGAGGAGCTGGACTCTTCAGTAATTCATTTCCCTTTTTGCGCCTCATCTTTCCTAGTCTTAAAATGAGAGTTGGCTGGTCGGTCTTAGAGAGCAGGGTTTTGCCTGATTCACCTCTGTGTCCCTTGGTCAGGACTGGGTTCGGCTTGGAAAAGGCACTAATTAGAGTTTTACTGTTGTTTGTTTGTTTGTTTTAATGGGCCACGGGGAAATCTGAACCCTTGAGCTTCCCACGGGTCACAGAATGTCTATTTTTATTTGTTTGTTTGTTTGTTTTGTAACAAGGATTGAACCAGGGGCGCTGAGCCGCATCCCCAGCCCTTCATATTTTTTAGAACATGGTCTAACTAAATTGCTTAGGGCCTCGCTAAGCTGCTGAGGCTGTGCTTGAACGTGAGATCCTCCTGCCTCAGCCTCCTAAACAGCAATCTTGGTACAGCTTAGAACCCGGTCCTGTAACTTTCCTGCCAGAGGGTCTGCGAGCAGCCGTCGGGCCTCCTAGTCTTGGGTCCCATTTGGACCTTTCCTTCCTGGGTCCCAACGCCCCGTGATGACTCGCCCCCGGGCTCTGAACCCCGTGGCTTCCCTCCCTCTGAAAGCCTCTGGCTCGGTGCCACTCCTACCTTCGGTCGCGACATGACGCGATTCCCGGGGCCAGATCCAAGCCGCCACTACGTCCGGCTAGAGCCTGTCCGTCCCGTTGCCAAGGTGACGAAGGGACGCCCGGATCCGCCGCTCTGATTGGACGAGCCAAAGGCGCGCCTCCCGGTGGAGTGTCCCCGCTCCCGCCCACCGAGGCCCGGCGCTCCCAGGGCGTCCCGCACCCAGGTCCTCGACCTTCTCGACCTTTCCCTCCCAGTCCCACCGTTCTGCGACCTTGGGCACACGCGGCCAGAGGATGGCTGCCCGCCGCGGGCACTTACTGCCCAGCACCGCCTCCAGCCAAGCTTCCTTGATCTAAAAATGCTGCTTCTGAGAAGTTGTCACTTTTTGATAAATGCAATGGTACTGCTTCCTTACTCAACCACCACTAAGACACCTGGTCAGTTGGTAACGTCACCAGTTCCCTCTGCTCTGGCTTCGATCCTCAGCACCTCATAAAAATACATAAAACAAAGGTTCATCGACAATTAAAAATTTTTAAAATTAGTGAAAAAGTGGAAATATCACAAATGTCCAACAAGTTGCAGTACATTCATACTATTCAGCCATAAAGAAGAATGAAAGAATGAAGTATTGATACATGCTGATATTTGGACTATTTTTAAAAATACTTATTTTTTAGTTATAGGTGGACACAATATTTTATTATTATGTGCTGTTGAGGATTGAACCCAGTGCCTCATGCATGCCAGGCGTACCTAAAGAACTACAAACCTCAAGGAACAGAAATGTCCTTTGCAACTCTCTTTATAATGGTGGAAACTATTACACACAATCTAAATGTCCATTGGGAGGATGGTAGATGAATAAAATGGGGTATATTCTAATAATAAAATATAGCATTGTAGGGCACTGGTTCAATTCTCAGCACCACATAAAAATAAATAAATAATACAATAAAGGTATTCTGTCCATCTACAGCTAAAAAAATTTTTTTAAATACTATACAGTGATTAAAATGATTCAGATGTCCCCCAAATTTATTGTTCAGTGAATAAAAGTTACAGAATGATACATTTTATAAGGTTATAATTTGTGTTAACTATAAACATACATATGAAAGTATGTTTCATATTCTTATGGGTACATAGGTGTGACAAGCTTTAAAACATGTCTCAAAAGATACACATCAAGCACATAAGAATTGTTATATCTGGGGAGAGAGGAAAGGAATTGGGGAGAGGAAAGACAACTTCAACTACTCAAGTTTATTTGGAAAGTTCTATTTAAACACCACAGTTGAAGCCAGTAGGTCAAGCAGTTCCTTATCTGGATTTTAGATTTTTTTTTTTCTTAAATGAAAAAAACCCTCAAGTCCTAGTAATAATATGATAGAGGAGTTTAGGATGTTTGGGAAATGTATAACAGTGTAGTCTAAACAAGTCGACATGGGGTCAGTAAAGACTTTCAGGAAGAAATAAGAGTTAGCCTGATAAAGGGGATGGGAAGAGCATTGCAGGCAGAAGGAACAGTATGTGCTAACTCAGAGAGTATGGAGTATGTCACAGGAAGAAAATGCAGATGAGGACCAGGAAAGGGTGTCAAGGAGGGGAGAGAGGAGGCCATTAAGCTTGAATGCTTTTGTTGGTTTCCTTTTTTACAGATTTGGTAACACATTTTTTTAGAGACAGGGTCTAACTAAATTGCTTAGGGCCTCACTGACTTACCTAGCTATTCAATATGTCGTCTCATTTAATCACATAAAGATCCATGGGCCTTTCCCCTCCCCCTCTCCTTATTTATTGATGATAAAACTGAAAAGCTAAGCAACTTGCTGAAGATGCTCCCGGCAGAAGACGGGGCCCCTGAGGTCATGCTAAGCAGCCTGAACTTTTTTCTAAGGGCACTGGGGAGCTCACAAGTTTCCAATTGCTGCTTGACATTATCAAAAAATTAGTGACTTGAAATCACCCAACGGTATTATCTTACAATGCTGGAGGTTAGGAATCTGACACGGGTCTCACTGAGCTAGCAGGGCAGAGTTCCTTCTGGAAGCTCCAGAAGACAATCAGTTGCCTTGAGGTTTCCACCTGCATTCCTTGGCTGGTGGCCCCCTTCCATCTTCCAAACCGGAAGTCACAGCGCCCCACCCTCTACAGTCGCATCCCTCTGACCCTCACTCTATCCCTCTTTCGCTGAAAGGACCCTTGTGATGAATCCAGGTTCTCTCCCCATCTCAAAATCAGCTGATCTTGGATTCCATCTGCAGGAAAAAACAGACATAATTTCATCCATGGTATTACGTCCCCCTTCCCAGGCAGCATAACGTTCAGCGTTTCCGGAACCTAATATATGGACATCTTTAGAGAACCATCATTTTTAACAATAAAAATTTAAAAAAAAAAAAGAGAGAACCATCATTTTTGCCTACCACGGTGAACCATTGAAGGGTTGGAAGCCAGGGAATGAGAGGGTGAGACCTGCAATTTTAGCATCTTCATATACCTGGCTTGTAAAACAGTCACTTCATGACTGAAGAAAAACTGGGTTTTACAATAAGAAACATTTTCAAAGGCTGAATAATACACAGCTAATGAAATATTAAGTCTAATAATGATATCTCTCCTTTCTTTGGGGCTTTGAACAACAGTTCTTTCATACATGTGTCTAGATCATTCCCCCTAGTGACCAAGTGAGGGTGCACAGGACTTATAATTGTCCCTGTAGGGATGAGAAAAGAGACCCAAGGACACTCACCTGCCTAGGTTCACAGAGCTGCTACAGCCAGGACTGGGATGGGGACCTAATCATCAGGGTCCCTTATCATTCCCCTCCCCCTCCTTCCCTCCTTTCTTTCTGTCCTTCCTCTTCCCACCACCCCCCGCCCCCCATACTGGGGCTTGAACCCAAGGCCTCACACACGCAAGGTGAGCACTCTACCTCTAAGTACAACCCCAGCCCTTTTAAAAGTTTTATTCTGAAACACGTTCTCATTGCGTGACCTAGACTGGCCTTGAACCTGTGATCCTCCCACCTCAGCCTCCCAAGTAGACAGGTGCTGGGAGCCATTAGCCAAGTAGGTATGACAATTTCCTTGCCAGCATACCCCATGTTGCAGTGACATTGAATGTACGTGACCTTGCTCAAGGACCAAGGCAGATTAGGGTGTTCCCGGTTTTAAGATAATCGTGTTTAGGGCGTTCCCAGTTTAGGTTCCAGGTTTAAGGTTTAAGATTATTCCTGCTGGGGATAGGGCATATCCTGCTGCCTGAGTTCCCCTTGAGTTCTCACGGATTCAGACAATATATTTTGGAGATAGAAGCCCAGTGGAGGTGGATTTGGGCAGAGAACGTGGATTTGGGCAGAGAACGTGGATTTCCCCAGAACGTGATTGTAGAAGGCTGGTGTGAGTTCGGGAATAAAGAGTTGCTGTTTGAATCTACAAGCTGTGTGGTGGCTCGTGATTGTGTGCCCAGCCAGACTGCGGCATTTGTGCCCAGCCAGACTGCGGCATTTGGTGGCCCGTGCGGGGAACTTCTGAAGCTTGGAGGTAAGTGAAATTGCTCGCCCTGAGGAAGAGCGAAAGAATGGGTGACCAACTCAAAAAACAATGTGTTATTGTTTTGATTTATCTTGTTTTTGTTTCAAGCTGCCTATCCCTAGAAATTTCTCAGGCAAACTGGAAAAAATGGTTGACTAAAGGTTTGAAGTTTGTCGGCCCTGAGGAAGAGAAAATTGATACAACGATTTTTTATTCCGTTTTTGTTTCATTCAGTTTCGGCTTTGTTTTGTGCTATCTTATTGGGTTGCGTTATCTTTATAGTAGATTAGAAATTAGTAAAATACAAACCGAAAAGATGTTAAGTAAATTGTTAGAGGTTCAGACCATGGAGAAAGACATTTTAGATCAAACAAAAGAGAAGGTCTCTCGAGCTAGTCAGACAGAGGAAGAAAATTTAAAGGAAAAGGGGTTATTAGGAAAAAGGCCACAACAGGAGGCTGTTACTAACTCCATTTTATCACAAGAGGGCGTAATTCAACCAACAGCCCCACCGATGGAGACAGCTGAGTGGCCCTCAAACCCCGTAGTTGATAAATGGGATCCTGAGACAGGACCTCAAAGATTAGCATGCCCTGTACTTGAACAGGCAGGAGGGCAGCGAATTCACCGTGCTTTAGATTTTAAAACAGTGAAGCAGTTAAAGGAGGCTGTAACAACCTATGGTCCCCAAGCTCCCTTCACGGTAAGCATGGTTGAGTCCATTACTAACTTGGACATGACGCCAGCAGATTGGGCTAGCATGTGTAAATCTGTACTAAATGGAAGACAATATTTGTTATGGAAGGTTGCCAATGAGGAATTTTGCGCGGAGACAGCTAGGCGAAATGCAGCAGCCGGTTACCCTCAAAGAAATCTAGATATGTTGTTAGGAAAAGGACCTTATGAGGGTCAACGGCAACAAATTGAATATGATCCTGCTATATATGCACAAATTGCTGCAGACGCAGTTAGGGCATGGAAGACTTTACAAGGACATGGAGATTTACAAGGTCAGCTATCTAAGGTAATACAGAGAGCTAATGAACCTTACGCTGACTTTGTAGATAGGCTAATTCAAACAGCTGCCAAAATTTTTGGGGATACAGAACAAGCAATGCCATTAATAAAACAACTGGCTTATGACCAAGCAAATCGTTGCTGCAGAGAGGTTATTAGACCATGGAGACATGAAGATTTAAACACATATATTAAATTATGTAGAGATATTAATGAACAAGGGCAAGTCTTGGCAGCTGCAGTACAACAGGCTTTAGATGCCAGGCCAAAAACATGCTATGATTGTGAACAAACAGGACATTTTAAAAGGAATTGCCCCATAGGAGGAGGGTTTAACAAAAGTAGGTATCAAAGGAATAGAATACCGGGTATTTGCCCACGATGCCGTAGAGGGAGACATTGGGCTAATGAATGCCGTTCTCAAACCACCATAGAAGGTACTCCCTTATCAAAAAACGGACAAAGACCAAGTATTTATCCAAGATATCGTGGAGAAAGGCATCAGGCTCCATTGCCAAAAAACGGACAGGGGGGCCCAATGCTCCGGGGCCCACAACCACAAATATACGGGGCAGTGGAGGATCCCAGCAACACCATCAGGGTAGTGCCCAGGACACATTGTCCATTAAATCCCTCATCAGACAAACCCGAGGGAGCGCAGGGTTGGACATCTGTGCCTCTGCCAGAGCAGTATTAACTCCAGAGATGGGAGTTCAAATCATTCCCACAGGAGTAAAAGGACCTCTTCCCCAAGGAACAGTAGGCTTATTATTGGGACGTAGTTCATCTACATTAAAAGGACTTATGATAAGTCCTGAGGTAATTGATCCCGATTATGTAGGTGAAATAAAAATTATAGCTAGTTCTCCAAGAGGTATATCAGTAATTTCACCTGGAGATAGAATAGCACAGTTGTTAATAATACCCAGCCTACATAATAAATTTCCTAGTCATAGTGTAGAAAGAGGTTCCAGGGGATTAGGCTCCACAGGTGTAGATTGGGCTATGTTGTCTTTAAATTTAGATTCTCGCCCAATGCTAAAACTAAATATTCAAGGTCATGAGTTTAATGGACTACTGGACACAGGAGCTGACCTTAGCATCATATCTCGTCAAGAATGGCCAAAACATTGGCCATTACAACAAGCCACTCAAACGCTTCGGCCTAGGAGTGGCGACTAATCCCCATAGAAGTTCTATGATATTAGATTGGACATATTGCTGGAATGTTATGCCACACTTACAAACTTATTAAAAAATTATAATCTAGAGATAGCAATAGATAAAGTACAATTGAATTTTCCAATTAATTATTTAGGAGTTCTACTATCCTCAACCATGGTCCGTCCACCAAAAATTCAAATACGAGTAGATCAACTCAAATCACTTAACGACTTTCAAAAGTTATTGGGAGACATAAATTGGATAAGGCCTTATCTAGGTATACCAACAGGAGAATTGGGACCTTTATTTGATATTCTAAAAGGTCCATCAGATCCAAATTCACCCCGCATGTTACTCAAATCCATAACAGCTGATATCCAGAACTCCAGCTTGGCCATTCTTACATCTGTGACAGTGATTAACCAGGATGCTTTTTTCAATAGCTATTTTATTATTGCATTTTTCCACATCATAAGGTTCTATTTTTATTTTTTGAGCTCATACAAACCTAGGTTAATGTTTTTCTGATCAGTTTTATTTTTTGACTGTGGAGTTTTTAAACATTGCAATGGAGATTTCACCCAGGTAAAGCTACAAGGCCTTTACTATTTTCTTATGTGTTGTACGTTTGTGTACACTCTTGTGTTTTGTGTTATATGTCTGTATGTGCGTATGTCCATATTTCTTATATGAGGAGCGCTCATGAAAAAATGGATCCGAATTATTATTTTTTATTCACGTGATTTAAATGGTTTAATTTAAATTAGGTAAACAGCTGTTAAGGATTGTTTTTAAAGGTGGTTAACAGATCTGTTTGTTTACTAATTTAAATTAGGTAAAAAGCTGTTAAGGATTGTTTCTAAAGTAGGTTAACAGATCTGTTTGTTTACTTTCACCTTTCCTTTTCATTATATTTAATAATTCTTTTCAGGATAATGTCTCTTTAGCATCATTGCCAGAATTCCTATCTCCATCCCAGTGCCGGTGAAGAACTCAACAAGTAATGCTCAATCAAAGAGTCAACTTACTTTGGGAGGAAACGGATTTGGGGAGGAAATGGACATATTGATAGATTCCTCTGCTTTGAACTGCTTGCAGAACTTGCCTGGACTATGTAACTATCGTTTGGTGCAGCGAATTGTGGTAATGCTGGCATATCTTTGCTGATGGTGTCACTAGTGATGCAATTTTTCCCAAGGAGCCGTCAATTGGCTTGGTGTCGTGGCATTTCTGTATCCTCCTCCCTTCTGCTAGTGATGGTCTAAAATTTGGGGGCCAATGGCTTATGCTGGACCGGTAGTCAGTGACGGGTATGATCCAATTGCAGTGGTATCAACCTAAGACAGGAGGCTGACGCCTAAAGGTCAGTTTTCCGATGACGGGTAAGAACCATATGTTGAATTGGACAACCTACCAGGCACGGTCCATAAGCCACATTAACCTCACTCCCCCACTGGCACCAAGGCCAAATTTGGGGGCCAACAGAGGTGAGGCAAAGAACCTCACCCCCCCACTGGTGCATAGACCTATCCACAAGTATGGCTGTATGCTGGACCGGTAGTCAGTGACGGGTATGATTCAATTGCAGTGGTATCAACCTAAGACAGGAGGCTGACGCCTAAAGGTCAGTTTTCCGATGACGGGTAAGAACCATATGTTGAATTGGACAACCTACCAGGCACGGTCCTTAAGCCACATTGCTTGTTGTTTAATTAATCAGAAGGGGGGAGATGCTGGGAGCCATTAGCCAAGTAGGTATGACAATTTCCTTGCCAGCATACCCCATGTTGCAGTGACATTGAATGTACGTGACCTTGCTCAAGGACCAAGGCAGATTAGGGTGTTCCCGGTTTTAAGATAATCGTGTTTAGGGCGTTCCCAGTTTAGGTTCCAGGTTTAAGGTTTAAGATTATTCCTGCTGGGAATAGGGCGTATCTTGCTGCCTGAGTTCCCCTTGATTTCTCACGGATTCAGACAATATATTTTGGAGATAGAAGCCCAGTGGAGGGGGATTTGGGCAGAGAACGTGGATTTCCCCAGAACGTGATTGTAGACGGCTGGTGTGAGTTCGGAAATAAAGAGTTGCTGTTTGAATCTACAAGCTGTGTGGTGGCTCGTGATTGTGTGCCCAGCCAGACTGCGGCATTTGTGCCCAGCCAGACTGCGGCAGACAGGATCACAGGCGAGCGCCACCTCACCCAGCTGTCAGCATCTCTTTATTCCATTTGGAGTGGGGCATTCTGGGAAACTCAGTGTCAGCGCATCTTGGGAACAAATTTCCAAGCGTAGTTGGGCACCGGATAAACATGTGTGGAGCTGGTGAAGAGCCTGCTTTTATTCCTGCGGCTCAGATAGTGACTGTCAAGGCAGGGCGCCTGAAGCCATCCTAGCATTCCTTCCTTCCCCCGGAATATCAGCTGCACTCTCCAAACCGTCATCTATGCTGAGTACCCACCTCCTTCTTCCCAGCTTCTTCGTCCACTCAGGGCACCATCCTCTCTTGCCTGGGTGGCCACAGTCGACTTCTCACCAACTTCCCAAAGGGAAGAGTTAGTAAGGGTAAGAGAGGGACTTAAAATTTAAACCAGATGACCTGGCCTCCTGGGGTAAAGTGTCCTATGCTTTCTGTCACATGGCAGAGAAAACAATGTCAAGGCCCAGTCATGGTCATTGATGGTCCTGCGTGCTGGGCCCCCACTCCACTCTCTAGCCCCATCTCTTACCACCTCCCTCGGCTTCCTCTGCTCTAGCTCTTGACAAAGGCCACATTCTTGTCACCATGGGTCCTTTGCAGTGCTGTCCCTTCTGTTGGAAATACTCTCTCCACTCTTGTATCCTTATATCCCAGCTCTCCTGTCCCCCCTTCAGAGAGGTTCTCCCTGCCTCCCTTTGTGCCTTTCATAGAAAACTTCCCCTTTTGTGAATGTATTATTTGCTCTTTGCTTGTTTCGTTTGCCTTCTCTCCTAGATCTGAGATGCTCCCTGTGCACCTCCTAGCCACACTTGGCCCCTTAAACATTTGACATGTAGTTTGTCTGAATTGAGATGAACTCTATGCGTAAAACATATACCAGATTTTGGAGACAATACAATAAAAGTGATATAAAGTACATGAATAATCCTAAATATTCTGTGCTGAAATTATAATATTGTAGAAATAGTATGTTGAATAAAATCATTAACAATTAATTTCCTTTTACTTTTTAAATGTGGCTACTAGAAACCTAAATGACACATGCGGCTGGCGTCCTCTTGGGCAGTGCTGGTCTAGATTGTTAGCTAATGAAGAGAGGAACCATCTCCACCTTGTCCACAGATGTGTGGTACCTAGTACCTCGTACTCAGCAAGTACTTGCTGAATAATTGGGTTTGTATGAGGAAACTCAGTGCAGAGAGAACTGAGGCAGGCAGCCTGATGTGTGCTGTGAACTTGAGAAAGAAAGAAAACATGAAGAAAAGGTTTTTATCTCCAGTCACCGCATTTCAAGTGGACTATGTCCTCTCTTTGTCCTGCTGTGTGCTGACACTTCCCCACAGTCACCTAGTACTACAAGATGGAGAGACAGGGTGATCCCTGGAGGATGCTTTAGCTGCTTCTATGTCAGTCCCATAAATGATGTCTGGTCTCAATTATGGTATATACTGGGACCTAGATGACAGAGTTAGCTGGGACCCCATGGGGATTTCCCCAGGGTTGCTCATTCACAAGTCAGAGGTGAACAGGGTCTTGAACCTTGGTCTTCCAGGACTCTTGCCTCTAATTAGATCCTATTTTAGTTTCCTAACCCAGAACCCAGGTGATTTGAATACTCCCACATCTCCCTTCCCCTGATTTTATCTCTAATTTTTGGGATCCCCAAAGTAATTATGCCTGGTCCCAGGAGAGCTTGCCCAGCTGGCACCATCTTCAGAGGGGTCAGAGTGGATGAAAGGAAGGGACGGGAGGATGGATGGATGGATGAATGGGAGAAGGGATGGATGGATGGATGGATGGGATGATGAATGCATAAGTGGGTGGGTGGATGGATAGTAGGATGAAAGGATAGATGGATGGATATGTGGGTAAATGGAAGGATGGATGGATGGATGGATGGATGGGAGGATGGATGGATGGACAGGAGGAAGGAGGATGATGGGAGGTGGATGGATGGACAGGAGGAAGGAGGATGGATGGGAGGATGGATGGACATGAGGAAGGAGGAAGGATGGGAGGATAGATGGATGGACAGGAGGAAGGAGGATGGATGGGAGGATGGATGGATGGACAGGAGGAAGGAGGATGGATGGGAGGATGGATGGATGGACAGGAGGAAGGAGGAGGGATGTGAGGATGGATGGATGGACAGGAGGAAGGAGGAGGGATGTGAGGATGGATGGACAGGAGGAAGGAGGATGGATGGGAGGATGGATGGATGGATGGATGGACAGGAGAAAGGAGGATGGATGGGAGGATGGATGGATGGACAGGAGGAAGGAGGATGGATGGAGAATGGATGGATGGACAGGAGGAAGGAGGAAGGATGGGAGGATGGATGGATGGACAGGAGGAAGGAGGATGGATGGAGAATGGATGGATGGACAGGAGGAAGGATGGGAGGATGGATGGATGGATGGACAGGAGGAAGGAGGATGGATGGGAGGAAGGAGGATGGATGGGAGGAAGGATGAGAGTGCAGAAGGGCTAATGGGTGAGAAGGAGGGTGGGGACGCGGATGAATGAAGAGTGAGAAAGGCAGAGGGCTAGCGGAGGCTGCTCGGACCGGGTGATGTAGCAGAAGGAAATCACCCACTTTTCTCGTCGCGCACACAAACTGAAGAGCTGGGAGCCCTTCGCGACCCAAGTCCAGGCGCCTCGCGTTTGGCTGGAGACCCGGGGCGGGGGAGCGGGTGCTCTGCCCAGGGGCGCAGGGCGGTAGGGCGCCGCGGGAGCCCGATCTCCGGTGGACCCTCCGGGGGCTCCCTGGACACCCCTCCCCGCCCGCGCCTGACGGTGCCAGGGTGGGGGGAGCGCCCCGCCCCCACCTCCGGAGGTGGCGCCCCACGCGGCCGCAACAAGCTGCCGTTGTCCCGCGGGCCGTGGGCCCAGCACACTGGGGCTTTGTCCGGCCCCCGCCACGACCCACGGGGGGCCCCACATGACCGAGGGGGTAGGAGGAGCCTGCGGCGGCGGCGGCGGCGGCGGCGGCGGCGGCGGCTCCTTCGTTTCCCTCCAGGGCCGGGGGTCGGCGGGCGGTGGCCGCGGCGGCGGGACCAGGTTGGGTAGGGCCGCGGACGCCAGGCCCCCGGTTCCCCGTCAGGCTGCAGGCTCCGGGTCTGGGCCAGCAGGGCAGCTGTGACCCGAGCGCTTTCCGGGCGGCGAGCTGGGGGTGCGCCCCGACCCCCGCCCCCAGGATCATGGGAAATGGCATGACCAAGGTAGGGGGGCGGCGACCGCGCATCCCTCACCTGGCTGTCTCCAGCCCTTCCGGCAGGCCACCGGCTGCGACTAGGTCGGTCTGCCCGCCTCTGACCTTCTGGTCCCTCTCTGAGCCCTGTGTGTCCACACCTCTGTGTCCCTGAGGTTCCGAGGCCGCGGTGTGTTCTCTCTTTGCCTGTGTCTGTCCTCTGTGCGACTCTGTGTCTTGCTGTATCTCTGTGGCTCTTACTCGGGGATACCTTGCCCTGGCTTGCTGTGTCCCTCTCCCAGACTCCCCAGACTCTGGTGCTGTTTTTCCGACCCTCCCCACTCCGCCCCTGCATGCCCTACACCTGCACTGGCCTTGGTCCTCCAGCTCCCAGCCCACTCCTCGGCTGCTCCTCCCATTCCCCCTGGGTCCTTTGTCCCCTCCCTCTCTGTCCCCTAAGCCTCCCTCCTCTTCCCTCTCGCTGGTCCCCAAGCCTGACTCTCCCTTGGTTAACTTGCTGGCCTGCTCCCCCAACCTCCCCAGAGCCCCAGACTCTCTCACAGAGGGCCCAAGCCTCAGCGATTGCTCCTGTGGAACCCTCATGGGACAGAGGGGGGCTGTGAGTCTCCCAGCCACCAGAGGTGGGAAGTGGTACGGCCCTGCCCTGCTGACCCCTGCCTCTTCTTTCTCTAGGTACTTCCTGGACTCTACCTCGGAAACTTCATTGGTGAGCACTGCCCACTCTGTCCCAAGCCTGAGTCCACCATCATACTCTGGCCCACACACCAGAGACAGGATGGGGCTAGAGGTGGGGAAGCCACACCAGGCTGGGAGGAGGAAAGGGGTCCTGGGGGTTGAGGGGGTGCTGGGGGGAGGGGGAAGGGGCAGCCATGGAGCGCTGGGGTCTGATGCTGACATCTTCCCCATGCCAACCTCCACCCCTATTTCACCACAAGGCCAAAGGGCAAGGTTCATGATCTGAGCTGGGACCATGTGGCAAGTCTGCTCTGCACCTCTGCCACCTCCTTGGCTCAAGGCCCACCAGCCTCTTCAGGGCCCTTCTGGCCCTGAGGTTCTGAGCTGAGGTCTGCTTGAGGGTGTGTTTCCACCTGGGAATCCAGGAACCTTCCCCCATCCCCTTCTCTCCCGAGGAGGCGTCTTGGGCCCTCCTGTAAGCACAGACCCATCATCCAGCTGAGGCCAGGGTGGCGAGTCTATAAGCTTCTGCCCTCCCTGTTCTCTCATCCAACATTTCCCAACTTTCAATGGGAGATGGGGACAAAGAGACAGCACACACACCCCCATCCCCCTCCTCAGGGGCTTCCAGGTGGCAGCAGGGAAGCAAATCTAAACAGAGACGATCTTTGACTGTGAGGGAGGAAACAGGCTGAGGCAGGTGGTCCAGGGCTTGGGGGATTCAGAATAGAAAAGTCACTTCAGTCTACAGTGTTGAAAGGGAGGAGCTCAGATGTTCTACCCTCATAAGCCCTGGTCCCTTTTTTCCTGGGACCCCTGTAGCTCCTGCCACATTGATTTCCATATTTGGGTAGATTAAGGTCTGAATCCTCTTTAAGTATATAAGTCCCATGAGGATAGGAGCCAGGGAGTTGACCCCCAGACCCCAACGGCTGCATACCATATGCACTCCCAAGATGATTGTTGAGTAAGGCATGGCCTTGTGGAGATGAGGGCCATGTGCTATTTATTCTGATCCTAGAAGGTCTGCATGGGCTAAACATCCAGTCCCTAGAAATGGCTACTGTGGGACCTACCCCTGAGTAGTTTTCCATATATCTTTGTAGATAAAAGATATAATATTTCAAACAAAATGGAAACCTATCCTGCACACTGTTCTGGAATCTGAACTTCCCACTTCAAAGTCTATTGTGTGCATTCTTGCACATCAGCACAGAGATCGTTTTAATGTCTGCACAGTGTTCCAAAATATGAGTATGTCACTATTTACCCAGTCCCTTTCTGATGGACATGTGGTGGTTGTAATTGTTTAACTATTCCTGATATGAACCGCGTTGCAGAGAACACTGTCTGCCACACAACAGCTTTCTGTGTGTACAAATGCTTCTGTCCCCAGATTCCTAGAGGTAGAACTGCTGGGTCAAAGAATGTGCTGGGCAAGGGTGTTTGGGATGGAAAGAACAGCGTGAGCAAGGGCAGGGAGAGGCTGGGCTGTGTCCTCTGGGTGCCCCAGAGGCCATTCTGAGCCTCAGGGTGTACAGGACCTGGGGAAGAAGCCGCAGCCAGGGGAGGAGGGGCCCAGCGGGAGCGAAGTGGTGATGTGCAGAGCTGGGGTGGCGGCTCTCGCTGTACTTAGCCTCAGTACCCAATAAGTCATACTTGCCATATTGGCGCAAGCACCTGTTTCTTTCAGATGCCAAAGACCCGGATCAGCTGGGCCGGAATAAGATCACACACATCATCTCTATTCATGAGTCACCCCAGCCTCTTCTGCAGGTATTCTGAATCCCCATCCCAGGGCTGTGCATAGGTGGGGGATGGGCTCTAGATCCCCATAGCACCCATTTATCAACTACCTACCATATGCCAGGTCCTGTCTTGTCTTCTTGACTCGTGCTTATGCCTTCTTCACCATTGGATTGGTTTATATTATCATCTTTATTTGGCAACTGAGGCCCAGAGAGGTAAATTAACTTACCTAAGGTCACACATCTAAGAAACTTACCAGCTGGGATTTGAGCACAGGCCATCTGGCCCAAGAAGTCTCTCCTTGATGCTTAAAAAGGCCCTCACAAAGCCACAAAGGCCCACACAAAGGCCCTCACAGTGGCGCATGCCTGCAATTTCAGCTACTCAGGAGGCTGAGGCAGGGATATTGCAAATTTTCTTTTTTAGAGAGAGAATTTTTAATATTTATTTTTTAGTTTTTGGCGGACGCAACATCTTTATTTGTATGTGGTGCTGAGGATCGAACCCAGGCCGCATGCATGCCAGGCGAGCGCGCTACCGCTTGAGCCACATCCCCAGCCCAGGGATATTGCAAATTTGAGGCCAGCCTCAGCAACTTAGCAAGACCCTGTTTCAAGACTGAAATAATTAAAAGGGCTGGCGACATAGCTCAGTGGTCAAGATTCCTGTGTTCAATTCCCAGTACTGGACAGGGGAGGGAGGACAAGATCTTCCCATTACCTTACTGAATGGATGATTCCAAACAGATGATTCTGGGCTGTGTCTTGCTATGCAACCTTGGACTGTGACTTCACCTCTTTGGGCCTTTGATTCCCAACCCTGACTGCCCCCAGAGGGCTGTTGTGAAGATGCAAAGAGAATGCAGGGTGGTGAATCTGCTTCCAACACTGCAAAGTGTGGTCCCCACTGCAGGGGCTACATTGACATGGAATCCTGGGAGACAGGAGGTGAGGATGTCAGGACTGAGGTGAGAAGCAGTCAGTCCAGACCAAAGGCCCCGCAGTAGGAGACCTGGGTTCTCATCTTCATCACTTATTCTCTTGCTGACCTTGGGCACAAGACTTCCTACCTCGGAGCCTCAGTTACCTGACCTACTAAATGGAATTTTTTATATCAGTACCTACCTTGCTGAGTGGCTGACAGCCACATAATAGATGCTCAACAAATTAAAACTGATATAATACCAAAGTTTAAAATATTCTTTTTTTTTAAAGAGAGAGAGAGAGAATTTTTAATATTTATTTTTTAGTTTTTGGCAGATACAACAACTTTGTATGTGGTGCTGAGGATCGCACCCGGGCCGCACGCATGCCAGGCGAGCGCGCTACCACTTGAGCCACATCCCCAGCCCCCAAAAATATTCCTATCACATAAACAGAGCCTCCTCCTCTGTTTATAAGTCTGTGTCACCAGGCGTGGTGGCACATGCCTGTAATCCCAGCGGCTTGGGAGGCTGAGGCAGGGAGATCTCAAGTTCAAAACTAGCCTCAGCAACTTAGCCAAGCCCTAAGCAACATAGTGAGACCCTGTCTCAAAATAAAACATAAAAAAGGAGAGCTGGAGGGGCTGGGGGTATAGCTCAGTTGGTGGAGTGCTTGCCTTGCATGCACAAGGCCCTGGGTTCAATCCCCAGCACCACCACCACCACAACAACAACAAAATGCTGGGGAGCTGGGGACGTGACTCAGTGGTAAAGCGGCCTGGATTCCATCCCTATTACCAAAAAAGAAAATCTGTTCTGCCACAGATGTGCTATGTGGGGTAGGGTCCTTTCCCTCTCTGGGCTCAGTTTATTCAATTTGGGGTCCTTTTTTGAGGTGCTGGGGGTCAAGCCCAGGGCCCAGACATACTATGCAAGTGCTCTTCTCCTGACCTACACCCCAGCCCCAGGCCTCCAGGTTTTCATGTGACAGATTTGATAGTCTCTAAGGGCAACCTCCAATAATCTATGACTTTCAGTGTCAAAGAAGAAATTTCCAGGCCATTGGGAGTGTGAGTTTGCTGGATAGGGCAGCCTCGTTTTAGAGTATTGAGAATATGCAGTCTAAATAGACTGCACAGGGAGGGTTGTCAGGTCATTAATTTATTTACCTGTGAGGTGACTGCTTACAAAAATTAGCCTGTGCCCCAGCGGCCCTCCCTCCTGTCACTAGCCTGTCTCCATCCCAGGCACCAGTGAATTGAGCAGAGTTTGATAATACCATGCAAACCCAAGGCCAAATGTTTTGCAAAGTGAAATTGCAAACCTTGCAAAAGATGCAGGGTTTCACGACCTTGGGGAATGTGAGCTGGGTAGAGAAGGGCTAAGACTTCACACAAAGCCCTGGGCAAATGAGGGCCTAGTGGTGGGCCACTTAAACATCAAAGTATCAAAGGAGGTCCTCAAGAAAAGCAATGAGGTCCTCAGGATGTGAGCAGAAATAATCTTGACAAAATTATGTGGAAATTAATAAGCATGAAGCAAAGGGCATCACAGCAAATGTGTTGGAAAAATTACCCACAGTTTATTCCTTGACTATTATGTAAATTTGGTTTTATAATTTTTACGTCTTTTCAAGATAAACAAATCTGCTTTGCCCTTTTTACTATGTCATTTTGCAATCTCCACTTGCAGGGGAGACACTTTCCCAGGCTATTGGATAAAAGATTTGCCAAGTCCTTCTTATCAAGTCCTCATGTCCAAGTCACCTATGAAGTTAGGGCACTGTCTGCTCAGAAAGCTCTGAATCACAGACAGAGTTGGGAGGCTCACAGAAATGGTATCTACTTTCTTTGGACAGAAAGAGAAGAGTGGCCCAGAGAGAGGCAGGAACTGGGCTGGGGTCACACAGCACTTGGGTTGCTCAGGCCAAGGAAAGGGGGTGCAGGCAAGGTCCCCACTCCCTTAGTGTGGGTTTTTGCTTGTTTATGTGCTATTGGGGATTGAACCTAGGGGGACTCTGCCAATGAGGTACACCCCCAGCCCTTTAAAACAAACAAAAAAACCTATACTGAGAAAGAGCCTTGCTAAATAGCCCAGGCTGGCCTCAAACTTGTGTTTCTGCACCTCAGCTTCAGAGTCGCTGGGATTCCAGGTGTGCTTTGTCTTTGCAGGATATCACCTACCTTCGCATCCCGGTGGCTGACACCCCTGAAGTACCCATGTAAGTTTCCCTGAATGGACCAACAGAGCTACCTCCTGCAGTGGGGGAGGGAGGCCTGAGGAAGGACAGAGAATATTCAAGCCAGATAGCTGTCACAGGGCACCTCTACCCAAGTTTGACTCTGTCTCAACCATGCTCTTGTGGTAGGTCCCCATCCCTCTTTCCTGAGCCTCAGTCTCCTCAGCAATGAGATGGGGACAGTTCCCTGCCTCTAGGGATCAGGTGCACCAGTAGATTCCAGAAGGTGAGGCTCAGCCTGTTCTTGGCCTTGGAGTTAAGACATCTGGGTTCCAGCCAGCCTTTGCCATTTACTGCTGTGTGACCTTGGACAAATCATTTCCCATCTCTGAGCCTCATCTGTAAAACAGGGTTCTGACCAGAGGCAAGGAGGCTTTCAAAGGTCTGATGACATGCCTTAAGGATCTAGGACAGGACCTATTGTGTAGTGGGGGCTCAGGAAAACAGACATTTTGCTGGGGTTTTTCGCATCCGTGCCCTTCAACTCGGGATGGACCCAGGCTAAACTTCTGCCCCATGGGGAATTCTGCTCCCAGCCCACGGCTGACTGTCATTGTTCCTAGATGTTCTTATGTGTGGCCTTTCAAGGACATAGGTAGGAGGAGACCCCAAGGTCCCACTCTTGAAAGACCCCTGAGAAGTGGGACCCCAGGGTCTCCTCCTATTTCCTTGAAAGGCCAAAACCCGACCCCAGGACCCTGCAGGGATGCTCTGCGGGATGGCGGCCCCTCCCAGCCTGGCCTGCCACCACGGCTGCCTCCCACACCTCCCCCTGCTCCCTGCAAACGCTGGCTGCCCTGAGCGCCCAGGGCTCCTTGTCCCTTGCTAGTCCCATGAGGAAAGGGCTCCCGGGGAAACGCCCCATACTGGCTCCTCTGTCCTCTCTTCTCCAGCAAAAAGCACTTCAAAGAATGTATCAGCTTCATCCACTGTTGCCGGCTCAATGGGGGGAACTGCCTTGTGCACTGGTGAGTTGAGGGGGAGCTGGTGGCTGTCCTCCATCCCCAACACACAGCCATCCCATGGGCCACAACACCCACAGTCCGCCATTCATCCAGAGGAGCCACCACAGGCTCAAGTCAGGGTCCTGTTCTTTACCAGCCCTGTGGTCGTAGCCCAGCAGTTGTTTCTCCCTGAGATTCAGTTTTGACATCTGTAAGATGGGGAAAAGGTTATTGAGCTGACAGGGCTGTTGAGCTGTTGAGAGAGAGAGAGAGATGACCCAGAGAGGGGCAGGAACTGGGCTGGGGTCACACAGCACTTGGGCAGTCCATTCCTCCTGGCTCCCCCTCTCCTCCCTCCCAGGCTTGTGAGGTGGGGAATCCAGGCTAGGAGAAGAGACTTTTGATCTACTCGTTTACCCCAGGCCTTGCCTATGTCATTCATTCCATAACTTCTCAACAAGCACCTGTCCTGTGCCTGGATGGGGCTCTGGCAGAACCAGACTGAGCCTGGCCGGCACTTCTGGAGCCTCCATGAGACCACTCTCTCAAGCCTTGCCTTCTCTCTCCCTCCTTCCCCTGTTCCAGTTGCACTAGACTCCCATATTTCAAATCCACCAGACTTCCACCTTATGGTCTTGGTGCACGCTGCCTAGAAACATGGTTGGCTGACCCTTACCTATCTCTCAAGACCTCTGAAACCTCTTCCCTGACCCTTCCTCATCATCCCCACTAGATCAACACCTCTTCCTCTATGGAACTCCTAGGCCCCAGACTCATCTTCAACACAGTTACAACCACCTGAAATCATGTCTCTGGTTAGTGTCTGTCTCCCCCAACTTACTGAGCTCCAGGACAGCAGAGACCATTGCTCTTTTATTCCCTCCCTGTATCCCCAGGACCTGAAAAAGGAAAAGATGATGAGGAAATATTTTTTGAATGAATGAATGAGGTTTCGCCCAGGCCCTTGATGTGGGAGAGAATGCCAGGCAGAGGGAATCTCCTGGGCAAAGACCTGGAGCTAGGAGGAGAGGTCCTGGCCACTTGCTTGTGGTTGGAGGCAAGGGCAGGGGCACTGCAGGGGGCAGGTGCCTGGGAGGTATGGGGGAGATGGAACCTTACCTGAAGCCTGGGGGCTGCTGGGGACCCCAGCTTTGCAGGCATCTCCCGCAGTACCACCATTGTGACAGCATATGTGATGACGGTGACGGGGCTGGGCTGGAGGGAAGTGCTTGAAGCCATCAAGGCCACCCGGCCCATCGCCAACCCCAACCCAGGCTTCAGGCAGCAGCTGGAGGAGTTTGGCTGGGGAAACTCCCGGAAGGTAAGGGCTGGTAGGAGTCGCTTGGACTGGGGGGGTCCGGGACCCTTCTTTCCCCTTGAACCTGGGCAGGATTGGGAGGAATTCAGCCCAGGCTTCAGATCTGGCAGATTATCCTGGGGTCTTGAACTAATCCAGCTCCTAAATTTAGTTTGTGTTAACAGCCAGGTGGGTTATGGGGTTCATTGGTTTGCTTTTAAACTTAGAGTCTGGCTGCCCCTAGACCAGTCTGTAGGCCCTTCAGTCTGGCCAGGTGCCCAGATGCCCTCAGGCCCCATCTATCTGCCTGCCACCTAAAGCTCTGAGGGTTTAACCTCTTGGGGGAAAACTGGCCTTGCCACACCCCAACGTTGGATCTTTCTGAGGTCAAAGCAATCCGCTTCCTTATCTCTCCCAGAATTTCAGGAATTGAGGTCACCCCGGGCACAAAGGGTGAGAGAGGAGGGAAGAAAGAGGAGAGAGCTGGAGACAGCCTGAAAGCTCCCAGCAGGGTGACAGAAGGGTCCCCAGAGGCTTATCTACAGGGCTGTGCTAGAAAGAAGCCCTGGTGAGCGCAGTTGCTGAGACCACCGATGTGGTCAGAGGCCAGAGGGAGGGGTTCATGCGCTCCCCGCTGTGTAGGTGGGGGTCACTTTAGCAAATCTGGAAAATGGAGGGAGTTGCAGAGGGAGAGGGACCCTCGGCGGCGCCCTGGAACTCCAAGAAGGGAGGCCAAGGGATGCTCGCGGGGGCGGGCGGGGTGGGCAGCGGGCCGAGGGCGGCGGACCTGGGGCGGGACAGACCCTGACTCCGCAGCGGCCACCCCAGCTTCGCCGGCAGCTGGAGGAGCGCTTCGGGGAGAGCCCGTTCCGCGACGAGGAGGACGTGCGCGCGCTGCTGCCGCTGTGCAAGCGCTGCCGCCAGGGCTCTGCCACCTCGGCCGCCTCGGCCGCCCCGACCGCGCCGCACTCAGCCTCGGAAGGGACCCTGCAGCGCCTGGTGCCGCGCACGACGCGGGACGCCCACAGGTCGCTGCCGCTGCTGGCGCGCGTCAAGCAGACTTTCTCTTGCCTCCCGCGGTGTCTGTCCCGCAAGGGCAGCAAGTGAGGACCCCGCCCCGAGCGGCTCCCCTCGGCCTCCCGCTCCGCCCCTTCGGGGGCTATCTGGGCCCCCCACAGTCAGGACGGGCCCAGAGGCTGTGGGAGCCCCGCAGAGGCCCGATCCCTGCCCCCATGCCCACCTCGCTTGTCTGCGTCCGCGGTCAGTGTGTCCTCCCTCTGTGCGTCTGTGTCCGGGCCGGCCAGCTGCAGCCACCTGGTGCCTTAGTCCTTGGGCTGGGGGAGGGGCCCCGGCTCCACCCGTAGGGGCGGCGGGAGAGGGAAGTGGGTAGGGTAGGGGTGGACGGGGCTGGAGGGATATTAAAGAGACACGAAAGCTGCCTGACCCCGGGCCTGTCATTCAACAAAGGCCAGACCCTGGTGTCTGGGAAAACAGGGCCAGGTGTGCGGTGTGCAGCCGTCGGGGCGGAGGGGCCTAACCTCCTCAACTGCGGTCTGCAGAGCTGGATTCTGGGACCGCGAACTCCTTGACACCGCCCCTCATCTCTCCCAGAGCCCTGATCTCCCTCCTGAGAAGTTCCTAAGTGCTTCCTTCCATCTCTCGAAGCCCCCCACCTCTTCTCCATACAGGCACTGGCCAGTAAGGTCCAGTAGTGCCTCCCCAACACCTGACCTCTCACTGCTTAAGTTTACTTTATCCTAGGGGAAGATGTAAGCTTCAGAAAGGTCAGGCAGCTTGCTCAAGAACACACAGCTAGAACTGGGGAGCCTAAGTCTCATGACAGTTGGTAGGAAGTAGCTCCTGATTTGGCAGGTTTCTGGTGGGGAGAACCCACCTCCAGCTAGTGGGAATCATCCTTCCCAGCTAGAGTTTAAAAGCAAGAGCAAGCAGGGACTGACCCCAAGAATGAATAGAGGTCATCAGAGCTGAGGAGTTTGAAGTAGCAATAACCCAACAGCCACTGCTATGGGCTTCTAACTTTGTACCAAGCCCTGGGTGTAGGGGGCCTGAATGAAATGACCTTCCTGTCATCCCAACCTTCTATTTCTCCTTCATTTACCAAATGTTCATTGAGCACCTACTATATGTCAGGAACTGTGTTGGGCACTGGATTTACAGCAGTGGGTAAGACCTCTGCCCTCACCTTGCTGATGTTCTGGTAAGATACCAGGTAAGCAAAAGGAAACATACCAGGTGGTGGGGGAGTGGACCATTTTGCTACTGGGGAGTGTAGGGAGCCTGTGTCTTCTTGGATGGTTTATGGTACTACCGTCCAACTGGTTTAAAACATTCAGATGGTGTCTTTCCCTATTTAAAAACCTCCACAGGCCCCATCACCTGGAGGACAAAACAAAGCCCCCTGATCTGGTGTTCTGTGTCCTTCAACATGCTCCCTCCCCTTCTAGCACTCCTCCACTGCCTTGGACTCACAGCACACCACTCCTTTGTGTTTGCGCTCACTCAGGCTGTATGCTAAACTTTCTACCTGCATCTCAGGCTATTCAACAGATGAGGAAACTGAGGCTGGTGCCCAAGGCCATCAGGTAGCAGGTGGTGGGGAAGTCTGTCTGTAGACCCCACCCTCTAGACACCACCCTCTGCAACCTAGAAAAATGAAGGGGTGGCCCAATACACTGAGGACTCCTGCTTAGTTGTACAGCCTGCCTCAGACTCTGAAAATTTAACCAAACTTGGGCAAAAAGTGTCTGAAAAAAAATCGCATCTGTATTGAACATACACAAACTTTTAATTTTCTTGTCATCGTTCCCTAAACAATACAGTTTAACAACTATTTACACAGCATTTACATGAGAGGTGATTTAAAGTCTAGGATATACGTAGGTTATATGCAAATACTACATTATTTTATATAGGAGACTTGAGCATCCATGGATTTCAGTATCCAGAGGGGTCCTGGAACCCATCCCCCACAAATACTGAGGGTGACTGTCATTATTCTTGTAGCTAATCATATGAAATAATTTGTGCTCTGCTCCACTGGAGTCTAAACCCAGACTGTGGCTACGGAAGTGCTGCTGGCACATGGAAGGGGACACAGGTGCACATGAGGGACAGTGCTTGGGTCTCTGGTCAGTGCTGGCTGGAGCCCCGCTCTCTGCCTGCTTCCGGAGAGGATGTTATTCTCTCCACCCTGTTTCACCAGGGGCTGGAGCAATCTGAACTTCTTAAAATCTTTCAGGTCAGGAATCCCCTTTTGACAATTGAATGAAAGAAACGTAAAATGCATAGATGTGACAAAATTTATGTACTATTTCACAGGATCACAGACCTCACCAGGAATCCATAAATCCCAAGTATAGCTGCCAGGAGGTAGGCTGCAGCACCATTTAGGTCTCTGGAGTCTCCCCAGTCAGCTTTGAATGCTGACTCTCCCACCAGGCTCTGGGACTTTGTTACAGGGCTTCAAACTTTCTGAGCCTTGGTCATCTTCATGTTAAAATAGGTAATGAGGCTGGGTTGAAGCTCAGTGGTAGACGGCTTGCCTAGCTTGTTTGAGACCCCAGGTTCAACCCCAGCACCACAAAATAAGCAATTAGACTTGTCTCCTGTGCTCTTGTGAGAACCAATGTAGGCACCATAGGGAAGGGTTCAGGCGCAGCACCACAGTGAGCAGTGGGTAAATGGGGATTCTCAATATCTGAAGAAAGAACTGTGGTCTCTGGGCCACCTGCATCAGAATCCTTCCTTCAGATTCAGGTTCCTGGGCTTTTGGGGTTTTGGGGTCGGGAGTGGGCACCAGAAATCGGTTACTGCCTCCCAGTAGGGACAGGAAACAGTTTGAGAAGCACTGGCCTTTCCAACCTAACCAGTCCAGGTTCTGAAAAGAGACTGAAAGCCAGGGGAGGTGTGGTCCCGGCCACTGGGGAGGTTGATCCAGGAGAATCCCTTAAGCCCAGGAGTTCAGGGGCCAGCCTGGGCAATTTAGGGACACTCAAGGGGTGGGGGGCATGGGAAGAGAGGGAGAGAGAGAAGGAGGGAGGAAGGGAGGGCGGGCAGAAGGAAGGAAAATCAGAGACCAACAAGGGTCCAGGGGGGCTAGGCAGAGCAGACCACGGGCGCAGGAGTGGGGCAGGGTTTGTTCCCTGGGTAGCAGTCGAGCACCTTCCTCCCAGACCCAGAGCCCAGGCCACCCACCGGAGCGCTCCTTGGGTCTTGGCAGTCCGGGGCGCCTCTCTCCAGCCACCACGTGAGGCCCATCGCCCTCGGGCCAATCTGTCGCGGGGAGGGGCAAAAGGAAAGCGAGAGGGGACGTAACAGAAAGCGAAACCCTCGCTCAGACTTTCACTTCCTTGGGCTCCGCGCGCCATCCAGGGGCGCGGTGATCCCTTAACCTGTGCGGGTCCCCTTCTATGCCTCGGGATCCAGCCCTCACTTCACTGAGCTCCAGATGGCCAACGGCCCCTGGCGGAAAGAGGAAGAGAGGGTCCCGATCAGCAATGGACCTGTGTTGAGAACTGGGGGTCCCCTGCGTCTCCGCGACTGGCTAGTGGCACAGATCGAGAGCGGACTCTACGCCGGGTTGCGCTGGGAAGACCCGGACAAGACCCTCTTCCGCATCCCCTGGAAGCACGCAGCCAAGCAGGGCTACCAGGCGCAGCAGGACGCAGCGCTCTTCAGGGTAAGGGTCAGGAGCCTACAGATCCCAGCCCGGGGGACGGCTCTTGCAGCACACGGTGGCAGCGGACCAACCCATGAGCTCTGTGACCTTGGGCCACTCGCTTGGCCTGGAGAACTAAGGGTAGTGTCCTCCATATGGGAGAACCTCAGACACCTCCTAAAACAGAATCAGTCAGGCTGGCGGTGGACCTGCACCATCCCCATCTCCTCCCATCCCATCTCCCAATGAGATGCCTCTCATTCCAAACCCACCAGACCTTGGGCTGGGATGTAGCTCAGTGGCAAAGCGTCTGCCTTGCATTCGCAAAGCCCTGGGTTCGACCCCCAGTTCCAAAAAAGACAAAAAAAAAAAAAGAACCCCACCAAAAAAAATAAATAAATAAGACTAAAAAAAAAAAAAAAAAAAAAAAAACCAAACCCACCAGACCCTGCAGCTTGGGAGCCTTCTCCGTGCTCCCAATATTGGACCTTTTCAAGGCCCCTGCAGGAAGAACTCCTTCCGCTTGGCCATCCTTAACTTTCTCCAAGTTGACTCCTTTCCATGCACACTTAAACTCTGAAATCTCTCCCCAAGCAATAAGTAACCAACTGCACACCAGGCCATTGTCACCACTCCAAACACCCAGGTCACCTCCAGCTCCTCCTTCTTTAGCTTCACCTCTCCCTTCACACCAAGAAGCACATGCAATGTTCTCTTCATTTATCTCCTCCTTCCTAGTTCCCCCACCATGCCCCAGCACCCCCATCTGCTTTCTGTCCCTCCTGCTAATGTCTCTAGTTGCCAAATCCTGAGATACATCCCAGCCTTCACCTCCTTGACTTCTGTCACCTGGTGGACTCTCCCTTCTCCCAGAATCACTCTCACTTGTATTCCAGAATCTACCCCTCTTGTCCCGACCCCTGCTGCTGCCATTTTCCTCCCACCTCCCAGGCCCCTGTTGCTCAGCCTCATATCTCCTCCCCTCCTCTGTGGGGGCTCCCAGCACTCCCTCTGGATCTCCCTCCTCAGCCTCAGCATGGAGGCTCCAGGCCTCCCCTCCGAACCTCAAGCCTGCTGATCTTGCAGTCTCCCAGATGCTGTCTCCTGGGTGGCCCCCAGGCCCCTCAGATTCTGCCTATGACTGTACCACACTTGTCAGCTCACCCCCCACAAAATTCTGCCACCTGGGCACCTGAACCCTAGCTGCTCTGCAACTTCCAACCTCATAGTATCCAATTAGCGAGGCCTGCTGGCTCTTCCTGCAAAATATCTTAAACCCATTTCTACCCTCTCTCCCAGGACAACTGCAGTGACCTCCCTGAGCTCCCCCCTCCCCCACCCCCGGCCCTCAGCCATCCCCTCAGTCCTTTCTAAGTGCAAAGATGTCCTCCTCAGAATCCTTCCAAGGCTCCTATTGCCCCTCACCCTGTCCTCAAAACCCTGCAGAACTGCCCTTCCCGGGCCTCCTCTCTGGCCACTCCCTTCCCTCCCTAGCTTGGGTTCTTTCACTTTCTAAATACTTTGTGTGTTGCCTTAGGACTTTGTACATGCTGTTCCCTCTTCCCCCTTGCCTGGCCAGCTCCTGTCAGCCTCAGCTCAAACATCTCTTCCTCAAGAGAGTCTTCCCTGGTGCACTCATTAATTTAATGCATTTATTAAGCACCAACTCAGTGGTCTCCCAAGTCATCCCCATGGGAGCCAGTATGAGTTCCCCATGAGTTTTCCTGCCTGAGATGACTGTCTCCTTACAGCAGACTATGAGCTGCACAGTGCCTGGCATACAGTAAGTAGGTGCTCAATAAGTGTTGAACAGGTAGATGCATGGCTTATCCCTTAAGCTTTATTCACTGTAGTTCAAAAGAGGGGGATTCTGGGGGCTGGCCCTCCCTATCCCTCAACCCACCACTAATATACATATGTGACTCCGTGGCCCCAACAATATGTGACTTCTGGTGCCCTGTACCCATGGGATAAAGCTTGGCCTTCAAGGACATTCATAATCTCTCTTCAACCCGTATCTTCTTCCTTAATTCCTCTCCCCTTTCCCCCAGCACATACAGTCAAATATGAATTCCATATTTGCAAATTCTCCTGCTTGCCAAAATGTATTTGTATTCCCCAAATCAATACTTGAGGCACTTTTGCAACCACTCATAGATATGCACAGAATGACCAAAATGTCAGTTGCCCAGTGGGGACATCTGAAGCTGAAAGCACTGCCTTCTGTCTTCAGTTCCCACACGGTGAACATTGTCCCTTCCATAGTCTATGTAGTGCCATATGTTTAATATTTTGTGAGTGATGTTCCTATTTAGAATGACCCCCAAGCATAATGCTGAAGCGCTGTCTAGTGTTCCCTAGTGCAAAAGGCCACCATGTGCCTTAGAGAGAAAATTCATGTTAGATAAGCATTGTTCAAGCATGAGCGATAGTGCTCTTGGCCATGAGTTGAATGTTAATGAATCCAGCGTATATTAAAGAGTGTCCTTCAACAGAAACACATTAAACAATGTTATGGACTGGTCAGTTGAAGAAAATGCTGTGACCAGAGAATTGCAGAAACTTAGCCCTGTATTTCCCCATGTGTGTGCCTTAGAGAGAAAATTCATGTTAGATAAGCTAATAATGGTGTCATATTGGCTAATTCAGTGTTTGTGAAGACTTAACAGAACATAACTAACTTGCATAACAAGAATCTGCACTGAGGCATACATGCCCAACCCCTTGCTGATGTCAGACATTGCACTGTTTTTGCCATTGGTGTCTATTATTTTTGTTTTCGTGCTGGGCATTGAACCCAGGGGTGCTCTATCCCTGAACTACATCCTCAGCCCTTTGTATTTTGTATTTTGAAACAGGGTCTTGCTAAGTTGCTGAGGCTGGTCTCAACTTGCCCTCACCCTGCCTCAGCCTCATGAGTCACTGAGATTACAGGTGTGCATCACCATGCCTGGCTTCATGCCTATTAAGTTTTGCTTTTGATGTGTTCTCTGGACTGTCTCATCTCAATATCCTTAGTTCAAAGATAGGTGTACAATAAAAGAGTAACAGAGAAGAATGCAGCAGATATAATGCAAACTGATGTCTCTGGTTCCATATTTTGCCTCAAGAATCTCTCATCTGGGGGCTGGGGCTGTAGCCCCAATGGTGGAGAGCTTGCCTAACATGTGAGAGGCACTGGGTTTGATCCTCAGTTTCACATATAAATAAGTAAATAAATAAAGCAAGCTAAAAAAATACTCTCTCATCTGAAAAGTAGGAGGCTAATTAGAACCAAGTTTATTTATATTATTAGTATTTATATAATGTGACTCATTTAATCTTTTGGATCTAAATTCCCTTTTATAAAAGGAAAGAAGATTAATTCTTAAAGTCCACTTAATTCAATAATTCCATGGTTCTACAATGGACTCATATACTTGTAATAAAGATTTGTTAATATTTTAAAAAGAGATATTCTCTGCCTCTGGAAGATTTCTCCTGTTTTATTGTCTATTAATCTTATAGTTTTATCTCCTACCCATGTTTTTTTAAATTATCTGGAGTCCACTTTGTTGGTGGCAACAGGTAGGGACTTAGTTTCATGATGATCCGGATAGCAAACTATTGCCATTATTGATATGCCATCACTTTATTTATTTATTGTTATTTATCACAATCCATAATTTGGGACATGACGATTTCTGATCAGCTGATCACAGCTGCCCTCTGACAGGATTGAGTTCCTTGAGACCCAGGCTCATATGTCTTGCTTCCCATCAAATCCACAGCTCTTGCTAGAATATAGTAGGAACCCAAAGACTATGGGAGGGGGAAAGGGAGAGCCCCAGAGAAGGATTCAGAGCCAGGACAGTCTCTCATCCCTCCGCACGGCCCCCCAAGTGCCCCCGCCCTGCTCTCCTTCAGGCCTGGGCTGTGTACAAGGGCAAGCACTTGGAGGGTACTGACAAGGAGGACCCCTCCACCTGGAAGACGAGGCTCCGCTGTGCCCTCAACAAGAGCATCGACTTCCGCGAGGTGCGCGAGCGCAGCCAACTGGACACCTCCCACCCCTACAAGGTCTACCGGCTGGTGTCTGACCACACCTCCCGCCCAGGTACCACCCTGCCCCTAAGGGTAGTAGCCGAGGGTGGCTCTCTGGGCAATGATGGACCTGTTGAGCTTGAACTCTGGGGAATTTAGAAGGCGTTTAGATCTCCCAGTTTCCCTGTTAGAAAAGGGGGAAGGGCTGGGGTTGTGGCTCAGCGGGAGTGCTTGCCTAGCATGCGTGAGGCACGGTTCCATTCTCAGCACCGCATACAAATAAGTAAAAATAAAAGTCCATTAACAGCTA